GTATATAAGTCTAACTGCTAACTGCTATTGCTATTGCTATTGCTACATCCCGAGACATGAGTTGCATGTAGGAGTTTAAATCTTGGTGAACCTGGAGAAAAGGAAAGGTTTTCTCATGTCTTTTAGCCTTCAATAATCCCATTTATCCTCCAGAATAAGAGTTGGAAAATGATGTATCTACACTCTTACCTCCATTCCTTTGTCCTTTGCTGTTTTCCTTCCTTCCTAACATGGATACTGGCGGAGGGGGATTACGCACACAGGTGTGTGTGTGTATTGTACTGTTACCTTTTGGGCTGATGTGAACTTGAGTGTGATTAAAAGACACACACACACACACACACACAGACACACACACACACACACGAATCTGGGCTTCCTGATTTTTATTTATTGGACTTTAACCTTTGCTCCTCCTAGAGAAACAACATTTTACAGGCCAGCTGATATTTGTTGTGTTGTCTGCTTTCCCAGGTCAGTGGGGGATGCCCACAGTGACTGCGGCTGCTGTGCTGGGAATGTTCAGTGCTACATTATCTGGCATCATTGAGTCCATCGGAGATTATTATGCTTGCGCCCGACTTGCAGGCGCTCCCCCGCCACCAGTCCATGCAATCAATAGGTAGGGTGCATCTGGCTCAGAGACGTGTATATTTTTAATGTGTCTGTTCTGCTTTTCACTGATGAAACAAAGGTAATATTTTAACCACATTCTTATAAAAACTGTGGAGGATGATACTTCAGTAGCTAAAAGCTCTTAGAAAAAATGGTTTCTCATTTTGTGATGCCAAAGGTCAGACTCAGAAGACGGAAATTGGAAAAAACTTTATTTGTTTTTTTTAAAAAAATGTCCATTTTTGGTGCACTTCAAATGCTTATTTCTTTACTCAAATATTTAAGGATTTTGAGAATATTTTTTTTCACTATGGAAGCACACTGACTCATTAACATATTCATGAGGCCTTCCTTTTGTAATACTCTGCCCAATCTTTGGAGATCCTTGTCCCAAGGTTTTCTAGACTGTGAAAACTATCTTACTATCATTATTCCAAGATTCAGTATTTCCACTATGTTTGCCTTTGAATCACTCTTTGGGTGATTTAATTCTGGCAATGCCCATCTTTCCCATTTCCCTTGCATATTTCATTCTGACATTCACAATGCACAACTGGTGTGAGATAGAACAGCTTTGCTAGCTCACTTTACTGATTAAAACTTGAGATCTACTCAATGCGTGCAACACGATTGGCCTTACAACTCACCTGGTTTCTAAATCAATTTGTTCTCTTGGTAAGCAGACTACCCTGAACTGTAAACATTGACGGAGGCTGCGTTGACAGGATTTACTAAGTCAGCCATCAAAACAAACAATTTCCCCACTTTGCTGCAAGACTAGAATAAAAGGGCTTACAATATTGTGCAAATACAGCTGTGAGGTTTGCAATTGACCTGGTCAAGGTTGTCATATGAGCATATGACAACACAGACCAGTAGGTCAAAGTGGCTGTTTCTCGGAACAGTTTCAGGAGACCAGATTTGTTTCACTGCTGAAAGCAAAATATTGCAACTGCTCCTTTCTTAAGACAGAGGCGGTCAATATTTGAATTCTAACTGAAGGCTAAAAATGTCTATTGTGGGTTTTCTTTTGAAAATCTTTCAGTAAATCAATAGGCAACGTGCACATTAGCCTCGCCTACACCACACCATCTCAGGCTGCTTCACAGATTGGCTGGAATATTTAACTGAAGCTTTCCTCTGGGATGAACCTACTGGACCCTTTTCTTTTTAATGCACACCCACGTTACACCTATCCTCCGCGAGCTGCACTGGCTGCCTATTGGTCTCCGGATACGCTTCAAGGTGCTAGTTGTCACTTATAAAGCCCTTTATGGTATTGGACCTGGGTACTTGAGAGACTGCCTGCTGCCAATCACCTCCCAAAGACCCATTAGATCCCACAGACTAGGCCTCCTCCGAATTCCATCTACTGGCCAGTGCCGATTGGCGACCACCCGGGGGAGAGCCTTCTCTGTGGCTGCTCCGGCCCTGTGGAACGAGCTCCCCGTGGAGATCCGGACCCTCACCACCCTTCAGGCTTTCCGTAAAGCCATGAAAACCTGGCTGTTCCGTCAGGCCTGGGGTTGACGAGTTCCCTTCCCCGCTCGAATTGTGTGACTGTTGATTGTTTTAAATTTTCTCTGCATCCTGTTGTTTGTTTTTGCCTTGTCTGTATTATTCCCCCCTGGGTTTGTTAGCCGCCCTGAGTCCCTCCGGGAATAGGGCGACATATAAATGAAATAAACCTATAACCTATAACCACACACCACACTGGGTGTGTGTTATATTCAGTTACATTCAGAACAGATAATGCTGAATCCTGTGGGTGTATGAAACACTAATGGATTGTTTGCGGTGTAAGCAGAGGTGGAATATCACCCCAGGAAGACTGAGCCATTAGGCCAGAGGGATTTAGGAAGGTATCTAATTAGGGAACCTGTTATCTCCCTGTGGGTGGGCAGTAGGTCTGTATGGTTCTATAGGCTCGATTGCTGTTTCCAATAGTTCCGGATGTGGCAGCTACCTGCAGATGACATCCTCAAGCGCTATGATCAGCAGGAGGCCGTATCATAAATGTCATATTGGGTGGGGCAAGGCAGGATTTTCTCTTTCTCTCTCTCTTTTAATCAGATGGTTTCTGTCTGCCAAGGTCAGGGAATAGGATGAATAGGTGATGAGAATCCAAAGCATCACTAGTCAACAGGCAGCCACATCTGTGTACGATGGACGCATTGTATCTGGCTTAACCCTCATCTACTTGTTAATTCTAATTTTTGACAGTTATTCCTTTAAACTGTTTAACAAGATCTTCATGTAATTTGCTGAGTATCCATCAACTGAAATGCATCACCCTAACATTTGCTAGGAGAGAGACTTGGAACATCTAAACACAACCCTTAGGATTCTTCTTCTTCTTTCCCCTCAGAGGCATTTTTACAGAGGGAATCTGCTGTATTATTGCCGGGTTGCTGGGCACTGGCAACGGTTCTACTTCCTCCAGCCCAAATATTGGAGTCTTGGGCATCACCAAGGTACCACCCTTACACTATTAGATAGCATCTTCTGTTTCTAGGCTTTTGATGGATTTGCATACAGCTGCCTCCTGCTTCTTCTTGTGCACTGGGAGAAGTACAATGTTTCAGTTTATAGCAGCTGGGCAAAATCTGCAACTGGGATAGATTTTATATTAGCATCACAAGGTAATTTTGTAGGATGAATTCTGCCATTCTAGATTCCTGAGAGATGTTTTTGCTCCAGCATTAAGGTAGCCCATTTTTGGTGCGGTGTTGTTCATATCATGGGCCCAGTTAAGTAGGCAGAATTGTTGCCACCTTTGCAGAAGTTTATTTATTATTTTTTATTTATTAGACTTATATACCGCTTCATAGGGCTTTCATCCCTCTCTAAGCGGTTTACAAATTTTTTAGCAA